GCTTTGGGATTCCTGCCCCGGAATCCCTGCGCTGTCATTCCCTTTCACCCTGCGTCATTCCCGTGCTTTCCATATCATTCCCATTCTCTCTGTGCAATCCCCATTCTCTCCATATCATTCCCATTCTCCTCATGCCATTCCTATTCTCTCTCTGTCATTCCCATTCTACATCGTTCCTGTTCTCTCCGTGTCATTCCCGTTCTGTCCGTGTTGTTCCTGTTCGCTCCGTGTCATTCCTGCTCCTCCCGCGTCATTCCCGCAGTCGGGATCCTCCTGATCGTGAAGAACTACACCGGGGACCGGCTGAATTTCGGGCTGGCCCTGGAGCGGGCGCGCTCCGAAGGGGCCGACGTGCGGATGGTGGTGGTGGGAGATGACTGTGCCTTCGCCGCGCCCGGAAAAGCCGGGAGACGCGGGATCTGCGGCACCGTCCTCATCCATAAGGTCCTGCCGGGGCTCCTTCGGAGGGATTTTTGGAATTTTGGGAATTTTCAGGGTGGCTCATCTGATGTTGTCCTTGGCAGGTGGCAGGAGCACTGGCGGAGGCAGGAGCGGGTTTGGATGAGATCGTGGAGAAGGTGACGGTGGCTTCCAAAGCCATGGGTGCGTTGTGGGATCCCATTATCCCATGGGAATGCTGTCCTGTGTCACTCCGACCCATCCCTCCCAGAAAATCAGCCCCATTACCCCTATCTCTCCTGGAAAATCAGCCCCATTCCCTCCTGGAAAATCAGCCTCATTCTCCCCATCCCTTCTGGAAAATCAGCCCCATTCCTTCCTGGAAAATCAACCCCATTCCCTTCTGGAAAATCAGCCCCATTCTCCCCATCCCTCCTGGAAAATCAGCCCCATTCCCTCCTGGGAAATCAGCCTCATTCCCTCCTGGAAAATAAGCCCCATTCTCTCCTGGAAAATCAGCCCCATTCCCTCCTGGGAAATCAGCCCCATTCTCCCTATCCCTCCTGGAAAATCAGCCCAATTCCCTCCTGGGAAATCAGCCCCATTCCCTCCTGGGAAATCAGCCTCATTCCCTCCTGGAAAATCAGCCCCATTCTCCCCATCCCTCCTGGAAAAGCAGCTTCCCCCCAGCCCCTGTCCCCCCTGGAAAATGAGCCCCTCCCCTCCCCACCCCATTTCTCCTGGATAATCAACCCCATTCCCCCAACCCCCCTGGAAAATGAGCCCTCTCCCTCCCCGCATCCCAAATCCCAGCAGGTTTAACGGCACATTCCTTCCCGTGCAGGTACCCTGGGTCTCAGCCTGTCTCCCTGCAGCATCCCGGGATCCAAGCCCTCATTCCAGCTGGCTGAGGATGAGATGGAGCTGGGGCTGGGTGAGGAGGGGCTCTGGATCCCTCCCAGATCCCTGGGGGGGACTGAGATTCCCTGTCCCCCATGGGAAGTGTGGGATGTGACACAGCCTCGTCTCCCTAGGGATCCACGGAGAGGCCGGAGTGCGCAGGATGAAGGTGAGGGGGGGATCCTGCTGTGTCCTCCTATTCCCAGACCTCCCCCGCATTCCCACATACCCCCACTCTGCTCTTCCCACCTTCTGTGTCCCCTCCAGGTGCTGTCAGCGGATGAGGCCGTGGAGACGATGCTGAAGCACATGACGGATCCATCCAATGCTTCCCACATATCCCTGACCCCTGGTGAGCTCCCTTGGATCCCCCCTGCCCCCCAAATCCCTGATCCCGGTCTCATCCCGCCCCTCATCCCTCAGGGTGCTCTGTGGTGCTCATGGTGAACAACCTGGGTGGATTATCCTGCCTGGAGCTGGGAATCGTGGCCGGAGCCACCGTGCGCAGACTGGGTGAGCGTGGGGTTTCTTGGGATCCCCTTCCCTGGCTCTGGACCTTCTGGAATGACCTCCCCCGGCTCCTGGATCCCGCAGAGAACCGAGGGATCCGCATTGCCCGGGCCTTGGTGGGATGCTTCATGACGGCGCTGGAAATGGCCGGAGTCTCCCTCACCCTCCTGGTGGTGGATGAGGAGCTGCTGCGGCTGATCGGTGAGTTCCCGGCGCGAATGTGGCCTGGGATGGGCACGCGGGGGTCTCCAGGTGCTGGGTGATGGGACACGAAGTGCCCAGGAGCAGAATTCCTGGCTTCTGGACGTACCTGGAAAGGGGACACAGCTGGGAGACAGGCACAAGGGTCAGTGAGATGTCTGGGAGCGGAATTCCTGGCTGCTGGATGCACCTGGAACGGGGACACAGGAGTCTGCAGGTGTTGGGTGATGGGACACGAAGTGCTTGGGAGAGGAATTCCTGGCTGCTGGATCTGCCAGCAAGGATCCAGGAGGATCCTGAGCCACTGTCACCTCTGGCTTTTCCAGATGCCAAGACCACGGCCATGGCTTGGCCCAACGTTCCCGCGGGACCGGCGACCGCCCGGAGAGAGGAGATTCCAGCGCCAATGGATGTCCCGGGGCAGCCGTTGGATGAGACCAGCACAGGTTCGGAGCTGGAATCCCTTGTGACCCCCTCCTGTGCCTCGGTTTCCCTCGGGAATGTTTCCTTTCCGCAGGGCCCGGAGCGGTGCCGGTGCAGCGGGTCCTGGAGCGGGTGTGCAGCACTTTGCTGGATATCCAGGATAAGCTCAACCAGCTGGATCGGAAAGCAGGAGATGGGGATTGTGGCCACACACACGCCCGGGCAGCCCATGGTGGGTGTGGGAATATCCAGGGAATTGTGGGGAGAGGGTGTCCCAGCCAGCACCGCCCAGGAGTGGGGACTTCACTGGGATGTCCCTTCTTGGGATTTGGGAACCCTGAGATGCCTCTTTCTATGGAACAGGGTCCTCATGCCCTGGGAGCTGTGGCTCAGGAATGCCCTATGGAATTGGGGGTGTCCCTGCTTATCCCAGGAGTGGGGGCTTCCTTTCTTGGGATTTGGTTCCCTGAAGTACCCCTCCCTAGGGAATGGAGTCTCCACAGGGAACTGTATCCCTGGAACATCTCTGTTTCCAGAGGTAGCTGCCTTGTGGAACTGGGAGTGTCCCTGCTTATCCCAGGAGTGGGCGATCTCCCTGGGACATCCATTCATGGGATTTGGGACTCCCAAAATGCCCCTTCCACACCCTGGGAGCCACAGGCCAGGAATGTCACTACATCCAGTGGCAGCTTCCTCACGGCATTCCTGCTTGTCCCCACGAGGGACAGGAATCCCCAAGGAGCCCAGGACCACCCCCCATCCCGCTCTTCCCTCCATTCCTGCAGCCATCCGGGAATGGATGCGCTCCCGGCCGCCTCCGGCCGCCCCATCCCAGCTCCTCTCCTGCCTGGCCGACCTGCTGCTGGAAAAGATGGGAGGCTCCTCTGGAGTGGTAAGTGGGAATGAGAATGCGGGGAGACACCTGGAAGTGTTCCCAGGATGGGGGTGACCGTATTCCCAAAGCTCTACGGGCTCTTCCTGACGGCGGCCGCCCGGACCCTGCACGGCCGGAGCGATCCTGCGGCGTGGGCCGATGCCGTGGATTCCGGGATTGAAGCCATGCAAAGGTCAGTGCCCGGGACTGTGGGATCCCAGTCCCCCCAGGGATCCCAATCCCCCCAGGGATCCCAATCCCCCCAGGAATCCCAATCCCAATTTCCCTGCATCCAACACAGGTATGGAGGGGCCGCACCAGGAGACCGGACGATGGTGAGTTCCAGAATCCCGTGGGATACCCGGGAGCCAAGGGGAAATTCCAGGGGGTGTGGGGGGGTTCCAGCCTGGCCTCAGCACTGGCTCCCAGCCCTGTTCCCGTTTTTTCCCAGCTGGATTCGCTGTGTGCAGCCGCAAAGGCTCTGCATTCCCTGCGCGTTCCCGGGGCCGACCCGCTCCGGGTGCTGGAGGCCGCCGTGCAGGTACGGAGAGCCTGGAGCTGGGACGGTGGGACAACTGCATGGGAATCCTGGAAAACATCCCGTTTTTTCCTGGCAGAGCGCCGAGGTGGCGGCGGAGGCCACCAAGCACATGGAGGCCGGGGCGGGAAGAGCCAGTTACATCCGCTCATCCCGGCTGGAGCATCCCGATCCCGGGGCCGTGGCCGTGGCTGCCGTGCTGGGGGCCGTGCTGGGGGGGCTGCGGGACCCCCTGGCTACCCCCAAGTAGTGTATCCCAAAAAACCTCCGTGTCCCCCGTAGCGACAGGGATGTGGATCCCAATAGACCTTAGGAGACGTGTCCCCCAGTAACCCTTTGTGTCCCCCCACACCGATGGGGATGTGCATCCCAAAAAATCTGTGTCCCCCACTAGATCTCTTTGTCCCTTCTCGGTGACAGGGGTGTGTATCCCAATAAACCTTCGGAGACGTGTCCCCCAGCAATTCTCTGTGTCCCGCCTCACGTGTATCCCAAAAAAACCTCCGTGTCCCCAAATAACCCTCTGTGTCCCCCTCGTGGTGAGAGGGACACGTATCCCAAAAAATCTTTGGAGACATTGTCCCCCAGTAACCTTCTGTGTCCCCCCATGGTGACAGGGACGTGTATCCCAAAAAACTTCTGTGGCCCCAGCGGCCCCCTGTGTCCCCCTCTGCGACAGGGACATGTTCCCCAACGGCCCCCCTGTGTCCCCCCGTTGCTCCAGGCTGGGAAGGGGAATGGGAACAGGGATCGTGTGACCACGGGGGAGGAAGGAAAGCCGGGGTATGGAGGGGGAAGCACAGGGCTCACAGGGCTCTGGCCACGGGGGCCGGAGGGAAGGAGAAGCAGAGACGGGGCAGAGCATGACCCCAAATCCCGTGGGTGACCACGGGGATCTATCCCACGTTCCCAGGGAGCAGAGGAGCCCTTGGAAGGCACAGCTTGGCTTGGCCAGGACCTGCTCCCGATATCCCGCCGCTCCCACCAATCCCAGCCTGGCTCCACTTATCCCCATGGATTTGAGTGCAGGATTCCTGCGGAAGCCACTGGTTTATTCCATGTCCCTGAGTGGCTCCATCCCTGTCCTGCTGAGCCAGATTCCCTGGAGGGGGAGTGACACATGGGAACAACACGGATGTTCCTCTTTGTCCTGACGAGGCTCTGGCAGCTCCAGGATGGCACCGGGAAGGGCTGGGGTTTGGCACAGCTGGAAATCCAGGCAGGAGCTGGCACGTGGAGGCACGAGAATGCAGGAGACACCCTGGGTGTGCTGGGAAATCCTTGGGATGGCAAGGATGCAGGAAACCCCTCAGGAATGCTGGGAGATCCTTTGGGATCAGCGCTCGGCGGAAAGCAGGGGCTGTGGGAAGACAGGGATCAGCTGGGATCCTTCCCCACCCTTGGGGCTGTGCTCCCAAATTCTGCTTCCCAAATCCACCCAGCGTGTTTCCGGTACCTGTCGGGAATCCAGGGAGTCGGAATCCGGGCGCTTCCAGCTGGGCCTGGCCAGGGCACCCACCACCAGCACCCCGAAAAGCAGGATCAGGATTCCCAAAGTGTTGGCAAACACGGCCTCGGCAGGAAGGAGCTTGTACTGCGCGGTCCCGTTTTTCCTGGGAGGGAGAAGTGGGGCTGGGAATGTTCTGGATGTGTCCAGCCTTTCCCTTAATGCAGCCAAAATCCCACCCCGAGCCTCCCAGTCCCTGCGAGGGCTCTTTCCAATCCCCCCTATCCTGGCACTCACAGGCTGAAGAAAAGCTTCTCGTTGATTCCCGACACACAGGAAGCCACGGACAACATGAGGATGGTGGAGCCAAAGAAAACATGGATGGGCTTGTACAGCTGCCGGAGCCAGGCGGGAGCCCAGGGAAGCAGAAACGTTCCAAATCCCACCGCCCACTGCGGGAAAACTCAGTGAGGGCAGGAAAACTCGGGATGCCCGGGGGAGCTTGGGGGATCCGAGAGTGCTCCCACCTGGCAGGAGAAGAGCAGGACGGTTCCCAGCCCCATCCAGCTGTGCAGGGAGTACATGTTGGGCGTCCCGTTGGAATTGTGGAAGCGGAACACGGCCGCTAACCCCAGCACGGTGAGGACGAACGATCCCAAAGCCAGGCCGCCGTGCAGCAGCTTCCAGGGAAGCTTGGGGCCGCTCCAGGTGTTGGGAACGCGGTAAACCAGGGCAGCTGTGAGGGGAAAAAAGGTCAGGAAGGGGCGGCGCTGGGATTCCCAGCGCTCCCTGGGCTCACCTGCTCCGTAGAGAACCACCAAGCCCGTCACCATCAGCACCGGGTGCCAGTTGAAAGTCCGGGATCCGCCATCCAGGGAAAAGCCCCCGCGCCAGTGCTGGCACCAGGTGCCCACCAGGGCCACGCAGAGCAAGCCCAGGGATCCCAGGAAGGCGCAGAAAGGCGGGAAGGGAATGTC